CCCTTTAAATATATACATAAATATATATGAAATGGAAATCTCCTCCACCCACGGAGTGATGTGCCCTCCCTAATCCTCCGATATCATATTGAACATCACAGCCCGTCGCTTCCCCTTCAATTTCAGCGACTCCAGGTGCCGGAACTCCTCCATAGCTGCTTCAGAGAGACCGCTTCGCGGTCACACGAATCGGTCTACTTCTCCCCCAACGAACCCAATCCCCTCCAACTCGCTCCTCTGGCGGTTCATCGACAGGGACGACGTTTTCCAGAAACAACTACTCAAGATCCGGATCGTGAAAGGTTCGATGGATCGCGAATACGGCGGTGCGGAACTACTCGGCGTGTTTGCTTGGGAAAGCCCTAACCTGCAACTATCACATAGGTTCGAATTACCTCAAAATCGACATCGACGTTGGGAGCTCGCAAATGGCGAATACGTCTTGCTTGGCGTTGGTGTGTGTGACGGCGGTGAGCTGCCGGAAAGATAATTGTAAGTGTGAGTTTTTTCTGTTTTAACGGCCATCGATTATAGATCCAGCAAACAGTCTATTTTATTTGGCTTTCGGTGGTGACTATTGGTATGCTTAGTCGTGCAATTGGAGATGAATCGTCTCAAGCATAACCATGGTTTTATGAGGCGTAGGTGAGTGGTTGTCTCAAGCATAACCATGGTTTTATGAGGCGTAGGTGAGTGGTTGTCTCTAAGGTTGTTAAAATCGAAATTCTACTTAGAATATTTTGATCTCCAGAATCATGGAATGGAATCGTGAATCGTAATATTATACTAAATTGTAAAAAAATAATTGAAACTAATTTCTTAAATAATAAAATTTGTAAAATATAATAAAAATAAGGCCAAATACACAATTAAATATATCTGACCTCAACATAGCATATCACAGAATAAAATTTGACATTTAAGAGATATTTTTTGTCCTGTAAATAAGTAAAATGACTTCCCCAAAAATTTTTACCCTCCTCCAAATTGTGCACAATTAAAATTACACTTAAAAAAATATTATATAGATAAATAAAAAATAAAAAACCTCATTTACATTTCTATTATGAAACATTTCATTATTGGGGGAGCAAAAAATATATAAATAAATAAAAAATAAAAAACCTTAAACATAATCAGCTAAAGGCCCATTAATTTCTTACACCCAATCAGCTAAAGGCCCATTAATTTCTTTTTTATTTGAAAAAATATGGACGGCAACCCTGAGAGGCGGAATACCCTTTCTTACTGAGATCACGAACTACTACACTAGAGCTTTCCCTTTAGGGCGTCAGTTGTCACTTCCAATTATGGCCTCAGCGATAAAGAAGAGGGGAGCAGCGAAGAAGAAGAGGGGATCAGCGACACGAGCGGCGACCAGAGGGGAGTGATCAGTGAACGACGAAGACCAGCGACCGATGAAGCAGCGATCGGCGAGCAGCGGCTGGCAATCAGCGACGAAGACCAGCGAACAGTTCTACCAGCGAGCGAGCAAGGACGAAGGTACCATGTTTTGCTTATTTATGTGATTTTAATCTGATTTCTGTGACTGTCCAGTGAATTCCCATCTTCTCTTCACCTATTGTATAGTCGGAGTGATGAAATCTTCAGGATTCATAATTGAATAACAATCTTTGGCGTGTATTATGAAATTGGGGTTAGTCTTTGACAAATTAGGGTTAGTCTTTGACAGTGTATTATGAAATTTGTAGAATCGATCGAATCGTACAAAATCGTACGATTCTACGATTTTATCCCGATTCTACCGATTCTACACCCGATTCTACCAATTGAACGATTTTATTACGATTTGGATCGATTTTGGATTTTGAATCTTAGAATCATGCGATTCTACGACTCAGAATCGCGATTTTGATAACCTTGGTTTCTATCACCGGCAGTGGTGACGGTTGTGTTGTCCTTGGTGGGAATCGGTGGCGGGGTAACAGTGTCATTGATGTGTTTGTTGGCTGGGTGAGAGATAAAAGAAAGAGAAAGGAGGTCAAGACTGGTGGCGGTGGCGGCGGTCCAAAGATGTATTGCTGGAGGGAAAGCAAAGCGAAAATAATAATAATAATAATAATAATAATGTTTTACTGGGTCAAACCCATTTAAATTAGGTAATACCCAACTTAAATTGAATAGTGTTATTGGACACGTGTCATGTCCTGATTGAGCCACATACCCAGGTTGGACAAACTTCATCCAACCTGGGTTGGATGTAAGTATTGTCCGGTATATATATATATATATGGGTCGTGACAGATGGGCCGAAAATTATAACCGATTAGTTTGGCAGTGCACGTAAGCTTTTGAGACGCGTTATCATGGTGTGTTTTCTCTCTCTCTCAAAATCTCATGTTCTCTCTGTTTTGTCTTGAGATTTGATGGAGTCTTTTCTTTCTATTTCTAAAAATCTTGTTGTCTTGAGTTGTCAATTGAAAGACAAGCCAAAATGCCTTAAAATGGAAATACTGATAAGTGCCCTTCACAGATTCGATAACTTCCATGAAAACCCTGACAAAACCTTAATCCCTGTGATCGAATCGGTGAACATATCAAAAACGTTGGAATCGGAAGGCGACGAAAATATCGGACAATTTTGGTGTTGTCTTGGACGGATTGTTTTGGCCAAGAGCCGAAGAGGGTAACGAAACAAAAATCAGATTCAGTGATTTCTACACCAGTCTGGTGGTTTGTCTCCTCACCCCTAAAGCATGGTTTTAGTAAGAACGACGATGCAATAATTAATTTGATGATTTCACACATTTTGGTGTGAATTGTGATCTTTCCCTTATTATTTTAAACACAAATTTTCCACAATTCTGTTTGATTGTTTAGGGTTTCAACCGTGTAGTGTTGCTTCTCTCTCCGTATGTTTTTTTTCTTTTCTGTACCAAAAGTTTTCAACTGTTACTGTGGAAGATGCCGGAGAAATTGTTAAGAACAGTGGAGGACAAAATGGTATTTACGAAGAAATAAGAATCGTCGTACACAGTCGTCGACCCACCTCTCTATGATAAGGAATCGTCCAAAATCATCGAGAAGCAAAACCAACGGCGACCGACGTCGCCGATTCCCACCAAGAACAACCCCGACGTCTTCTCCTCCACTTCACCTACGCTGATCGCACCACCGGTGCATGCCCAGAGAACTGATTTGGCGTCGGTGAGGTCCTCAACACCGGACCAGTCCCGAAAGCCACTGACGACCGAACAACGATGACTATCTGAAATTTCACGGTTAAAAAAAAAATCTATGACGGCCACCGTCGCTTGCACCTAGATCAGACTGTACGCCGATGAAGCTGGAGAGAGAAAGAGAGGAGAGGGGAAAAAGAAGACCCAAAAGAAGCAACAGCATAATACATTGTCTTGTCTGGCCTGACAGGTTAAAGAGAGCGTTGTCTGGCCTGAGAGGCTAGAGACACAGAAGGTGAATGGATTTGGCCTGAGAGGTTAGAGGACCCAGGGGAGAGACGGATGATGAATGGATCGCACTAGAATTTTTTTGCCAGCTGGAGTGACACCTGGGATTCTGTCTAACAAATCGGCCAAATTCATCTGCATGAATATCATTTTTCATATATATATATAAATATAAATATGCATATATAAATCAGGAGTTTGCACGAGGTGTAGAGTAGATTAAAAAGGGTGAGAATTTGGCATTGGTTAGCTTATGCCTGTATTACCATAAATCATTATGTTGGTCTCCAATGCTAGTTTAGTAGTTTTTTAGCCTCCAGATTGAATTTTAGCAATGTTAGTATTTAAAACGGTTTCTATATTTACACAATTGATTTGCAAGTTCAAATCATGTTTAATTTATCTCTCTAAACTTTCAATCTTTAAAATGCTTTCACAGAATTACCTTATATAATTTTTAGACGTGCTAAAATCAAGTGAACCTGTCTAACTGAATTCACAAACGCAATAAGGTTGTTTCAAATAATTATTAAAAAGAAGACACTATGAAATAAAAGAAAAGAGAGCTCTCTTAAATTGCGCGCAAAGATAATCCAGGATGGCACAATCTCAAATTGTGAATCGGGTCGAAATAAAATATTTATGATTATTTAATTTATTAATATTAGAGGGGGTTTATATATATTTATAATAATCATGGAGCCCCACAATCCCTTCCTACTGTCATTTTTGGTTCAATGTGCAAGTACAGGTAAATGTTAGTACTGATAGAAACAAGCAAGCACTACATGAACCTCAAATTTAATTTTATGAAGTTTCCAAACTTCAATGACTTCAGAAAAAAAAGAGGGGGGGGGGGGCGGGGGGATATTGTTGTTGCCAGGTTAGGAGCATACATTTGTGCGTGTTTTAATAATTTCTTATCGTTTCCAGCTGTGATGACCTATGAAAGGGTTGACTATTATATATATATATATATATATATATGTTTACACCGAGTTGGAAGCCTGAGTGGGCTTTTTTGGAATCATCACTAATAATAATGTACCCTTCTGGTTATAGTCTGCCTTTTATCTTTTGCTTTTGAATCTCCAAATTTTGGTTTCATTAGAAGCTCAAACACAGACTTACTTGACAATGAGTAGCTATAGTAATTCTTCTTTTATATATGTGTGTGTGTATATGTGTATATATATATTGTTTTAGTTGGTGTAGACTTGTCAGCAATAATTGCTTAGTGCGGTGATAAGCATGAGAGTTTGGAGTGTTAGCCTCTACATCCAGTGTGAGGCTATCCATCCGGATGGTCACTTTTGGCGGCTGGCGGCCAAACTAGCCTCTCTTTTATTATTAATTTTTTCATATATGGTTGTAATTAAAAATAAATAAATTTAATAGGACCCATCACTGACTCGCCAACTGTGTGGCACGCCCGTATGCAATTAAGTTTTTTTTTTTTCAAAGTATTTTTATCAAAATGGGAGCTTTTAAGCAGTTTCTAGTGAAGAATGACTTCTATAATTGGATACTATACTAAAATAAAATTTTAACAAATTTCAATATTATGTCCATTCTGCTAACACCACTCCAAGCAATAATATCTCATTTGCTCAAGTACTTTTTCAACCTGGATTCTTCAGAAAGATTAAATACTGATCAAATCTACATGAGTACAGCATACACATTGTATATACATCCTCACCTTTTACACGAAAATTTCTGTGATAGGGACCTAGAAATCATTCCAGAGGTTAGTCATTCTCATTTCTCCCTAGAAGTTCCATATACTCATGTCCTGCCTTTTTCAGTTCCAAGAGAACAATTCTCTATACAGTGCCGTACATCAATCATTGGTATGTCGAGGCAAATTTATCACTATGACATTGTCCTGACTAATCTCCAAACCTATCATATCTCCTCCCAGAGAGCTCATTATTACTTTCTCTCACAATTGATACATAAAACGGAGATGCCGGTGATTCAGTATATCCCATCTCGCAATGATGGCTGCACTTGGAATGTTTTCCCGTCTTTGGCTCCCTCTATTCCTATCTCTTCTATCCTTCTAATGGCCTCTCTAACATCTAGCCGCTGCTCGGGGTTAATTTCAGTGCAAGCTGCACCAATGTGGAGGAGCCGCTCCATATCACCTCGAGAACTTGTAGAGTGTGCAATTTCTGGATCAAATAATTCTGCTTCTCTCCCTTCTGAAGTCGCTGTTTTTACCCATTGGACTACATCAATCCCACCCTTGCCGTTGTTGAGATATTGGGAAGGAAATTTTCCTGTAAGGATTTCAAAAATGACAATTCCTAGACAATACACGTCACACTTGGGAGAAACCTGGCGGCTTTTTGCAGCCTCTGGAGATTTGTAGGCAAACAGTGACTGCGCAGCTTGGTTGGTGTTAACTAACGCACAAAATCCATAATCTGCAAGGAATGGCTCATAGTTAGAGCCAATAAGAACATTGCTTGATTTGAGATTGCCATGGGGCAAGTCAAAGCAAGCAAGTTCAGTGTGAAGATAACCCAACCCTCGGGCAATTCCTTGAACAATCTTTAGACGGGTAGGCCAGTTGAGCTCATCATGACTAGGTCCACGATCACCTAAAGAAGTATACAAATATTTATCAGAAATGAAAGATGTTTTGAGGAAACATGATGTTGAGATCAATAGCTCCATTAAAACTAGTTAGAGGAGAAACATTCACATATAATACATGAATTTATGTTCTGCATTGGATTGTTGGCATTGGTTGACTGCATTCACAGCCTTGAGAAAGTTTTCATGTCAAATATTAGGAAGGAAGAGAACTACAATTAGCCTGAATTAAGCACTTATGTTTACGTTACAATCTATAAGGATATAATAACAATTTGAGACAAACATAAGGTCAAGAGTGCAGATTTTAGAGGAACTTGATTCTTACCATGCAATAGATAAAGCAAACTGCCTTTCTGAACGTGCTCATAGACTATTAGCTTCTCATCTTTGCGATAATGGTAAGCTAATGGTGGCGAGACATTCTGGTGTCGTAGTTGTCCAAGCCGCCTGATCTCTGCATCAAATCCGTCTTTTCCCAACTTATTCATATCTTTTACCCTCTTCACTACCACAGTCATCCCATTAGACATCATGGCCTTGTATGACGATCCCAATGTCCCGTTTCCAAGCACCTCTGCAGCTGCCTTCATCAAATCTGGCAACCCAAATACACCCTTCTCATCATTTACCAGCACTAGATCCGGAGCACCCTTGCCATAGTTCGTTCCCTTACGGCTTGACCCCATTCCTTTCCGGCTTGTATCCATATCCTTTTTAGTTGAAGTTGATACGTGCACCTCGACTGAGTCATCAAGATTTTCTTTTTCAAGCACAGTGAACCTCTCTTGCCTTTTCCTCATCACCATAATTGCCACAACCATGAGCAATAAAAACAACACAGCCACAGACATGAGCACTATAGCAGCAAGTGTATTAGAGGAAGAACTGTCGCTACTTGGCTCAGGCGCTTTTGGACTTTCTGCCCGAGCACACCTTTTACCTAATTTTGCCCCGCAGAGCCTGGGGTTTCCTTCAAATGAGCTCGAATTAAATTTTGACAAACTAGCTGGAATTTCCCCTTCCAAATTATTATTTGATAGATCAAGTGATGCCAATGTGGTTTGTCCAAATGCGGGAATTGCACCTGAAAATTGATTGTTTTCAAGATGTAATTCAATTAGGTTATCCACGTTAGCCAATGAAGATGGAACTCCACCCGTGAAGTTGTTCCTCGGAAGCCACACTTTCTTCAAAGACTCCATTTTTGCAAAGTAGTCCGATGGAATGTCACCCGAAAACTGATTCCCCGACAGGTAAATGGCCTTCAAAGCGCCAAGGCGATTGAATTGTGGAATTGCACCCGAGAAAGAATTGTTCACAATACTAAGAGTCCGAAGGCCAGGCATTTGAACCAGCGCGTCTATATCAATAATCCCGGACAAACCCATTTTTTGAAGACGAAGACCAGTGACAATGCCATTGGTACAAACAAGACCTTCCCACAACTCCTTATCTTTATCACAAGGCTCGGAGCCCGGCTTCCACGAATCGAGAGCCTCAGCGTTTGTAAACGATTCCTTGAGTTTAAGCAAAGCCTCGGAATCAGAAACAGAAGATGACATGGGAGAGATGATGAAGAGAACGCAGCAGATCAGAAGGGCAGCAGGTCCAAGAACACCCACAGTGGCCATTAATCAAACAGGTCATGTGCGTTTGGCTGGTGCAGTACTTTTTGGGGTTTTTTCCTGGCTAATTTTCCGTTTTCTCTTGATGGGTTGTTCTAGTTTCATGGTGGTGTTGTTTTTGAGAATTTGGTGATGGAAGTGGAAAGTGGAAAAGAGCCTCAGAATGAGGGGGGAAGTGAAGAGAGAGAGAAAAGGGAGAGAATAAGCTCTTTGTGTTTGACCAGTTCAGTGAAAAACCGTTATTGTCGTTGGGAAATTCCGAAAATGCATGGTATTAATTAGTGGAGTCCATACAATTAATTGTAACAGTAAAAACCATCTGAACATTTTATAGGGTATGCAAACGTCGATTCACCAAATGATGGGTGGTAACAAAGGTAATATATATAGTTATTCGTTTTTATTATTACTGTTATTTGTTTGGCTCGAAGACCTACCCGCAGAGGTATTAGGGTGTTTTTAGGCGGGTGTGTTAGGACAGCTTAATTCCAACTTATGTTAATTAATTGGTTATGGCCAACTCCTTTCTGCCTGGTTTATTGTTGGTGGTTGATCCTAATGTTCATCCCCAAGCTATACCCTAAATTCTTGATTTTATATTTTTATTTTTGGAAACGATAAATCATTCCAATAACATGTTCTTTGACTTTATAATTGTAAGGTAAATTTTAGATATATGCAATCACTCACAAACCACACATATCATTTAAATCCGATTTTTTTTTTACCCAAACTCAAGATGTTCAAATTTATGACTCGTTCTTAAAAATTATTGAGTTTGTGTCTCAAATTTTTTAAGATTATTGAGTTTGTGTCTCAAATTCTTGAAGATTGTTGAACGCTAAAGAAGTCGGATTAGTCCAATTTAATTTTAAAATAGCAAGTTACTGAGTCTAACTTAAGTTGTATAGATAAAACTTTAATGCAACCAAGGCCTCTTTAATTTTTTTTTTTAATCACCTAACTTGTAAAATGTAATACACAAAGTATCAATTAGACATGTTTTGATTAACAAATGTGCCATGGAGTAGGGACTATGAACTATTTAAAGGTAAGGGATGGAACTAAGTACTGAAGATAAATCATACTTCACAAGTCTCAAACTACAAAAATGAGCATTTTTTTTCATTACGAATGAATTTTATTTATAGTGTGACGTGTAAGGCCGAAGTTGGAGTTAGAAGTTTTTTTTTTTGACCAATTGGAATTGAAGTTGAGGTGTGGTTATTTTGTCTTGGTGTGACGGAATTGGTCAGCTCTCATTTCTTGATGTCATTACTTCAAACAAGCAATTTATTTTTCACCAATTCGTTTTGTCAGCTGAGATAAAAAAAATAGTGTAAACAAGCAATTTCTTTTCAGTTTTCACCAAATTGTTTACTTGGCTAGCATCGGTCCTGAATGGACTACTTCAACCATGGATATTGATTTTTGCATTTAGAGGGCTTTTAAACCTTGGGCCGAACGCCCAATGTGAGTGCAGTTATTATAAACGGAGCGTGGATTCACGTATGTCACAATATAAACGGATTTAGATTTATTTTAATTGAGTTTGAGTATACCTTTAATATCATGTCGTATTCGGATTAAAGAGTTCAACACGTGTAACATGTACATACCCATTTAACTAAAAATTTCATAATTATGCTAATATCCTAGTATAAATCGTTACATGTTTAGACTCATTACTATAGACAATTGAATCATTTCAACATAAATTCTAACAAAAATACACATTAACTCCTTAGTTAATTTTTTTTTTTTTTTGGCTAATATTTATTGTTTGATAGAGTATTATAAATAATTAAAATAATAAATGTTAAATTTGGATAAATAGGTCATTAAACAGATTAACACGTATAATATGTTTAATAAATAGGTCGGGTTAATATTAAGAGTTTTTGACACAATTATTAAATAGCTCGGGTTCGGATTGACCTTTTCAGTATAATATCTATATTAATACGACACGATTATAATCCACAAGTTCGAATTGTTAACCCTATGTCAAAAAAAAAAAAAAAAAACGAAAAAGAAAAAAGAAAAAAGAGGTCATATCCATTGTCCAGTGTGTTTGAAATTATAGGGTGTTTCCTCGAAGTATCCAAATAAGCAATCCAAGTTCCTAATTATGAAACTTTGTTGGTTTAGTTGTGTGTGGAATGTGGAGCTGTTTTTTTTTTTTTTTTGAAATATTGCAAGTGTCATGATACTCAGATAAAAAAATTAGACCTATTTGTTAGACATAATTTACTTGGCACAAAAAGACAAATTAATATGATAATCATATGATCCCACTAACATGTCCATTAAAACAACCTGAATTTTCAAAGATAAATTTACCCTTATATTGCCTTCCCATATTCATCCTACCTTACAATTCTTGTTTTTTTAAAAAAATGTAATTAAAAATTCCTAAAATTTGTTTTATAAATTTTATCATAACACTATTTCTCTCTAGATAGATGTGTAATTCAATCCACATAACTTTGTTTTTAAAATTTTATCAAAACACTCTTCCTCTCTTTTTTATATATATATACAAGAATATGCAAAATTTTGCAAAACGTAAAAAAAAAAAAAAAATAATAATAAACACGAGGGACAGAGCCCCTGCCCTGCTTACCATATATACATAATATGTATTTTACTATATATATGTAAGAAATTTTATAAAAATGTTAAGAAAATGTCCTCCCTAAAATTTTAAATTTCTAAAAATTTATGATAAATTCTTTTGATTCCTTACTAGAAAAAATGTTATATTTCCATTTTTAGTTAAATCCTAATTTTGTTTTCCTTAAAAAGTTTTTCCTTACAAAGTTCTTCTTTTTTTACTTTCCGAAAAAAAAAAAGTTCTTCTTTTCTTCTTCTTCTTCATTTTTTTTTTTGGAAAGGTACACTTATATATTTTGGATTTGTGCCTTGTTGCATTGTTAGTTTCAATATATATCTTTTGAATTTGATTTATGTTTGTCAGTGTTTTTATCAAGACTATGGTGCATGTTAAAGCGAATAAGACTAATTAAATAAATGAAAACCATGGGGCAGTTGATTTGTTTTTTTCTTTTTTAATAAAATACACTACGCCCCTTGAAATCTCGACTCTGCCCTGATCAACACTTTTCTGTAGAAAACCAATAACAGACTGAATTGACTCGTCAATCGAAAACCCTCCTCACCAAGTACTATAAAGTGATATATTTGTGTATCGGGAATCAATGGCAATAGAGAAAAGTGAGAGAAGAAAATAAAGAATGGTTTGACTATAGAATAGAGATGGATAATTAGAGATATTATTGGTAATTGAGATTCTTTTGTACTTGGGATTCTGTAAGGATAGTTTTATCTTTAGTACAACTGTAGTGAGACATCACCGTCACCTTAAGTTTTGGGTTTGAGTATATATCATTTTTCATATTACAAAGGGTTAAGTGCAAAAAAAAAATCCCTCTACTATTGATATAGTGTAAAATAATCTTTATATAGTGTAAAACAACTCTATATTATTGATTTGGTGTAAATTGCCCTTGGTGACTTAAAATAACGATAATATCCTCATTTCAGCCGAATAAATTAATAAGTATAAATACAGGCTTTGTCCAATTTGTGTAGGAGTTTGTTTGTGTGGAACAAAAATAAAATGGTAAATTACTCTAACCTCTACTGAGATTTAGCTAAATTACCCATAGATGAAACTTTTGACAAAATTACTATGACACCCCTTGTCCTTAACTTTTGTATTGAAGGACAAAAATACGTTTGAACAAAAAAAAGAAAAAGAAAAAAAAAGGGAACTAATAAATATAAACATATTAGTCCATTACTTTCTAGTTTCTAATATATATATATATATATATATATATATATATATATATATACACTAGTCAATGTGTACGTGCAATGCACGTGAGTAAATAAGCATAATTTTAAATTAAAAAAATGTAAATATTTTGATATGCTTTACTTACATCCATCATAACAAAATACAAAAAGAAAAATGAGGTCCACCTTATTAATTAATAAAAGAGAAATCATAATAGTTAACGTTAGGAATGACGATTAAGTAAGCCTTTAACAATGTTGAGCACATAAGATAAGGTGTTGGTTTCCACGAAAGTAACAGCATGCAATTGTAAAATTATTGCAATGAACTGAAAGCATACAACATATTAATATTTGTGTTTTTAAATATAATTTTTTTTTTCCATTGGTATTATAAGGATATCTCTTTGTGTGCTAAATATATTTGGCACACTTATTGATTTTAATATATTTTTAAATATATTCATGATCAAAATTTTAAAATTGTATGATGAAAATCTTTGGAAAAAAATATATTTTTATTAACACAAATAATAAATAATAACACACTACACAGATAAAAATAATTAAACCAAATGAAATGAGTAAACATCTTTGACGCTAAGAGAAAAAGTTTTACTTTTTTTCTTCTAAACTGGTCTTCTTCGGTGGATCCTCCAAGCTTGGCCCATTCTGTGGTGCTCTTGCATGGGCTGTATTTCAATTGTTTGCCCCAATGCCACGTCCGCGGACTATAACCGGCCCATATCACTTATTGTATCCTCAACTGCCCCCATAATTAGGGGGTAATTATTAGAGGCTGCTAATCATGACTTGACGGCTCGAGAAGATCACATGGAAGAATGGATGGTTGGATTTGGGGGCCAGTGCTTTGAGATTCGAAAAACTCCTCACTTTCCTGACTCCTCGGCCTTCGGGCCCACCTTGTCTTTATAAGCCTCATAGACGTTCGATCGATTCTCTTTACTGTCTCCATATTGCTTTACTGTTGTTCAAATCTTCTCCGGCGATCTCTTGCAAAAGCTCCTTTTTCCAGCAACCTTGCAGTACCCTTGGTGTTTTCTCTCTCTGAGGTTAGTTTTGTTCGCCTTTTTCTTCAGAAGACCTCTTTTTCTCCCTTAAAATCCTCATTCATTCTCACCATGACTATAGATCTAGATGTTCTTCGCATGAGACTTCATCTTCCTGCGATATAGAAATTAGAAATTGCCCTAAAGAGGTGAATATTAGAACTGGTGCCGACCTTCTTTCTGGCGAGGTTCTATTTTCCCACCTTCATCTTAACCTCCTTAGGTTCTCTCTGCATCCCTTCTTTAACTATGTTTTTAATAAACTGAAACTTTCCCCTTTGCAAGTGAACCCAAATTTTCTTAGGGTTTTATTTGTTATGTTACTTCTGAACCGTGACAGAGGTCTAGATCTGGACCTCGTAGATCTTCTCTTTTGTTACAAGTTTAGCAAGATCAGAACTGATGAACCATTTTACCACTTCTATCCAATTGAGAAGAGGTCCATCTGCAAAGATAAAATCAAGTCTGAGAAGGGTTGGAGGAAAAATATAATTGGGTTAGGGGAGCCTGGTTTTCTCCAGCCGCAGAGGATTTCCCTATCCCGAGCACTTTTGGAGAGTGCT